TGTCTCAGGCGAAACGGGTCGGACCACCTCTCGCGAGGCACCTCAGAGCCCAGAGTTTGGAGGATGCTCAAGCGAAACGAGCCGAACCACCTCGCAAGCGTCATCTCGGAGCCCAGAGTTGCGAGGATGTCTCAGGCGAAACGGCCCAGGCCACCTCTCGCACGGCACCTCGGGGCTCAGAATTTCGAGGATGTCTCAAGCGAAACGGCCCGTACCACCTCTCGCGAGGCGTCCCGGATCGCAACTTTTCGAGGATGTCTCAGGCGAAACGGCCAATCCCGGCCAACTCAGAAACGAGAGTTGTGAAGATGTCTCAAGCGAAACGGCCCGGACCATCAGATTTTTGTGAGGATGTCTCTGCTCCCCTTTCCCTCGGCCGGAGTTAGTTTCTATCACAACAGCACCCCGTTCAGCAAGCTGTTTGGGGAATCAACGAATCGACACCGGATGTGTATTAACTTGACACGTTCTGATAGGGGGCCTCCTGGGGCCTCCTGGGAGCCTCCTGGGAATCTCCTGGGGACCCCTGGGGCCTGTCCTGGGCGTCCTGCGGCCTCCTGGAGCTCTCTGGGGCCTCTTGGGGCTCCCAGGATCCCAGGGAGGATATGTAATATGTGGTCTTCTGGGCCCCCAGGCTGGACCACCTCTTGCGCGGCATCTGGGAGCTCAGAGTTGCGAGAATGTCTTGTGCTACAAGGATGTCTCAGGCGAGACGGGCCGGACCACCTCGCGCAGGGCATCTCAGAGCTTAGAAGTTCGAGGATGTCTCAGACGGGCTCCCAGGGTCCCAGGGAGGATATGTAACATGTGGTCTTCTGGGCCCCCAGGCTGGACCACCTCTTGCGCGGCATCTGGGAGCTCAGAGTTGCGAGAATGTCTTGTTCGAAACAGGCCGGACCACCTTGCGCACGGCATCTCAGAGCTCAGAGTTGCGAGGATGTCTCAGGCGAGACGGGCCGGACCACCTCGCGCAGGGCATCTCAGAGCTCAGAAGTTCGAGGATGTCTCAGGCGAAAACGGGCCGGACCACCTCGCGCAAGGCTTCTCAGAGCTCAGAGTTTCGAGGATGCCTCAGGCGAAACGGGCCGGGCCACCTCTCGCACGGCACCTCGGGGCTCAGAGTTTCGAGTAGGTCTCAAGCGAAACGGCCCGGGCCACCTCTCGCGCGGCGTCCCAGAGCGCAATTTTTTGAGGATGTCTCAGGCGAAACGGCTCAGAAACGAGAGTTGTGAGGATGTCTCAAGCGAAACGGCCCAGACCATCAGATTTTTGTGAGGACGTCTCTGCTTCCCCTTTCCCTCGGCCGGAGTTAGCTTCTATCACAACAGCACCCCGTTAAGCAAGCTGTTTGGGGGAAAAAATTATCCCAGTGCGACCCTACCTAGGAATTGGAGCATTTAGGAAAACAATGTCTACATCTACACCGACACCTACATTTACATCTACACCTGCATCTACATCTACATCAGCATCAACAGCGAGACTCACATCTACATCTACACCTACACCTACATCTACAGCCATGCTATGCTAGGGTACGCTCGACTGCGCTGTGTTATGCTAGGCTATGCTATGCTATGCTGCGCTATGCTATGCTATGATATGCTGTGCTATGCTGCGATATGCTAAGCTATGCTGTGCTATGCTTCGCTATGCTATGCTATGATATGATATGCCATGCTGCGCTATGCTATGCCATGGTATGGTATGTTATGCTGCGCTATGCTATGCTATGCTGTGTTTTGCTATGCTATGCTATGCTGCGATGTGCTATGCTAAGCAATGCTATGATATGCTATGTTATGATATGATGCGATATGATATGCTATGCTATGTTATGCTGAGCTATGTTTCGCTATGCTATGAAATGTTTGGCTATGTTATGCTATGCTATGTTGTGCTAATGCTGCGCTGCGCTTTGCTGCGCTAAACTAAGGTAAGCTAAGCTATGTTAAGCTAAGCTAAGTTAGGCTAAGCTAAGCCAAGCTAAGCTAAGCTAAGCTAAGACGAGACAAGCTAAGCTAAGCTAGGCTAGGCAAAGCTAAGCTAAGCTAAGCTAAGATGAGATGAGCTAAGCTAAGCTTAGCTAAGCTAAGCTGGGTGAACCCAGGGGGCGCAACTGGGGGAACCGCGGGGCGGATGCTGGGGGAACCGCCCGGGGCGGGTTACGCTGCCCGGCCTTTGATGCCTCCGAGTAAGAACTCTTCTAGGCAGAGCCTAGGTAGGGAAATCACAGCACCCGGTTCAGCAAGTTGTTCGGGGACCAAAAATACTCCTAGAGTAGTCTGGGGACTATTTTTGGTGTATGGTTTGACCTTCTTGGAGCATTTTGGGGGATATCTCTTATCTTTCGTCGAAGATCCCCCGGTATAGGGGGACAGGCCCGACGTAAGAGCTGCCACGCCTTCCTCGGCGGAGGGTCGGCGGAAGGCCCGCGGCAGCACTCTTGAGCCCAGGGCTTCCGGGGTCTCCGCCCGTGGGCCCCCGCGTTCTCGTAGGGCGACGAGATCTATGCATATCCACTGCTCCTGGCCAGGCCCATCCTGGGCCCAGGAGTGGTGTATATGCCTCCCCGGCCAAGCCAGGAGGGCGTATACACAGCTCTTTGGGCCCAGGATTGGCCTGGCCGGGAGCAGTGGACATGTATAGAGATCGTCGCCCACCAGGTGGG